CAGATTTTGATAAAAGTTAATAAAATATCTTATTGAAAAATTGGTACAAAGCTGTAGGATTCTATTAAATGTGTGACCAAAGTTTGATTAGTTAAAAAGTTGAAATTTTATCAAATAAACACGATATAAGTTTTACTCTAAAAAAACTAAATTAGAGTAGGCATTTCTCTTTTAACATTTTAAGTTTCTAGATAAAATAATTTGTCATGTTATCGTTGATAAAGTAATTTTAAGTTTTGTCGTTACATATTTATAAAATTCGCTCACATGTCCGACTTCTGATAGAAAATTGTATCCTCCCGTATATACGTGAAAATATTAAAGATTAATTATATTTAAATAAATAAATATATCATACCTCTAATAGTTTAAACTTACTTATTCAACTTCTTTTGCAAAGAGCACGGTACATAAACGAAGTGGCTGGTATTGTCAAATATTTTTTGCATGTTCCCAAGTGCATTATTGAGTTTCTTCCATACCTTCACATCTCCTCGATTTCTTTTGTATATAGAGAGGCATAATTGAATTAATAAAAGATAAATTTTTCTTTAAAATGAGCACAATAAACATAAACATATTGAGCCCATATTTTAATGAACAATGCTAAATGTACACCATCCATGACATCTGTGTTGACATCCAACTCACGTGAAAGAAATTTGTGCATTGATGTGATAAATGAGTTCAAAATCAATGGTTTTGATAGATCCACGTGGAAGAGTGTTAATACAGATGTAAAGAAGAGTGTACATAAAGCACGATTTCATGGAACCCGCAACTTTTCAACCACACATTTCAATGATTTCATTAACTTTTATAAAAATCGAGTAAAAGCCTGGTTTCAATCAGATCAAACAAGGGCTAAGACTAATATATACAATTGAGGATAAATTAAGAGAATAGTGACTTAACAAAATGACACAAAATAATTGGTACAGTAAACTAAAAATAATTCTTAGTTTACTGTGGAAATTGTGTCTTTTAGTTGGAGATTTTGAACAAGACGAGACATGT